GAACCCGGGGCTCTCGTCCCCGCTGAGATCCAGCTGGACTTCTCGTGAGAAGTACACGAGCAAGTCCTTCTCCACACCAAACATCGCCATCTTGAACAGCTCGGACCGTGTTGTGCCAAATCAAACAGCGCTCACTAGCTGCAGGTGCAACACAGACATTAGATCGAAGAATCAGCATTGCATGCATGTGAGCTGTGCGAAGGTGTGTGTGTTCATGCGTGCGTGTGTGTGCGTGTATGTCTGCTGTGCTGTTGCTGCCTTTGAGTGCGCCACTTTTTCACTTCACACGCAGCATGCATGTCAGTCCCCATCTTCAACCCCAGCGCTCCCTCCCAACAGACTACACACACACACACACACACACACACACACACACACACACACACACACACACACACACACACACACACACATATGCACACACACACGCATACACACACACACACACACATATGCACACACACACACCCATGAACAAGCAACCAAACACATCACACATCACATCGCAGGCGGCGTACATGACGGCGTTGATGAGGTAGACGAGCGTTGCACAGCGCTGCTCCTGCTGGGCGGCGGTGCCCGGCGCGTGCACAGCCTCCTCCAACTTGGCACTAAAGGCAGACACCATCGGGTCAACAAACTGTCCAATGCGGTACACTTTCTCCTGCACGCGGTGGTTGGTTGGTGTGGTGGTGGTGGTGGCGGAATCTCGTGATGAGTGGTGTCAGTCGACATGCACGATACGGTGGAGGTGCGACAAACCAGGAACAAGATACGCTGAACCGGGGGGGGGGGGACGAGGACGAGGAGAACAGCTGACGAAACAACACCACAAGAGACAGCAACACCACAGGAGACAGCAACACCACAGGAGACAGCAACACCACAAGAGACAGCAACACCACAGGAGACAGCAACACCACAGGAGACAGCAACACCACAAGAGACAGCAACACCACAGGAGACAGCAACACCACAGGAGAGAACAGCACATGCACGATCGGACCTCCATGGAGATGGAGTGGTGGGCGAGCAGCCAGCTGACAGCTTCAAGCAAGTTGAGGCGACCCTGCTCCTCTTGCATCTGCACACCGAGAGAAGTGCAGTGAGCAATAAAGAGAGGTTGAGAGGGAGGGCCAAGCGAAAGGAGTGAGCTAGTGGCGCCAACACGCACGTCAACGCTTGCACTCAATGTCATCTGCTCCATACTGCGCGTATGTCATACACACATGCACCGAAAACACAACACAATGCAACACAACGTGCACCGCAGACCCCGCGCGCCCCCACCACGCAACGCAAACACGTACGCCCGATGGGTGGAAGTAAGGGAGAAGGTGCTCAACAATCTCTGGGATGAGGGCGGTGGCCGTCTCCCGCACGCTCTTGTCACGCAGCACCGTGCACAGCAGATAGCAGCACCTGCAGCGACAGGCAGGAGGGGCGACGAGGAAAACGAAGGACCATCATTGAGGAGGGAGGGGAGCGGGGTTGAGCGAGCATGTGCCAAGGACCAACGGCTCAGAGAAACACACGCTACATGCACCGCACATGACCAACTACCAGCATCACCATCACCACCTCCACCACCACCACGGACAAAGCCTCGCACGCGAGCACAACCACACCGTGATCTGAGACGAGAGCTCGGGTGCTGCATGCCTGCTGCGGAGAAGAACGTGCCGAGTGCCGGCATGAGGCGGTCAACGTCACGCGCAAGGAACTTGCTCGCCCGCCCAAGCACTGCAGTTGGTTTGAGGAGATAGAGGGGAGGGAGGGGAGGTGAGGGGAGGCGGTGGCAGGATGGCAATGATGTGATAATGGGATGATGTCGTGGTGTAGTGATGTCGTGGTGTGGTGATGTGCTGTTGTGACGTTGTGACGTTGTGACGTTGTGACGTTGTGACGTTGTGACGTTGTTGTGCGGGGATACGCACCTTCAAAGTACTGCTGCAGGAGCGGCTCTGGGCAGGCGTGCGAGACGGGGTAGTGCACGGCCTGTTCAAGCATGGACCGCATGGGGTGGCCGGCGCCCTCGCTGCTGTCCTCGCCGTCGTCAAGGGGAACACCGGCGCCAATTTCCTGCATGACAAAGACAATGTGCAGGCCGAGCTCGACGCGCTGCCAGGGGTGGTCCTCCGACGGTGAGAGAAGGTGTGACACAACCGCAGCCGCAACGGCAAGCAGGCGTTGCAGGTCCTGGTGAACAGGGAATGATGAATGGTGGTGGTGGTGGTGGTGGTGGTGGTGGTGGTGGTGGTGGTGGTGGTGGTGGTGAAAGGTGAAAGGGAGGAGAGGTTAATCATTGTGGCGGCTCAATGTGTGAACTGCGTTGAGGAACACGCAGGAGGACGGCTCTTGGAGATTCGACGCCTCTCTGTTACTGACGGCACACTCGGTCCACATGACATCAACACAACAGCACAACAGCACAACAACACATCAACACAACAACACAACAGCACTGCAGCACAACAACACAACAGCAGCACGGCAGCGCACATTTCTCCTGCGTACAATGTGGGAGAGGTTGACGAGGACAGACTTGAGCTGCACGCGAAACTCGAGAAAGAGGGCCAGTGCCTCCTCGTTCTCAAACTCGTCCTCGCCATCAAACTGCATCTTCATCAGCGCTTTGTCTGCAATCACTGCAAAGGTTGCCGCTTCCGCCTCCCCAAGCTCCGACCGCTGGCGTTCATCGTCACAGTCACGTGGACAGGAGTGAGTGTGTGTGTGTGTGTGTGCGTGCGTGCGTGCGTGCGTGCGTGCGTGCGTGCGTGTGTGTGGGGGGGGGGGGTCAACAAAAAGTGTTGAGCACGTCATACCACACACACACACACCAACTCAAATACAAACACAAACACACACACACACAAACTCAAATACAAACACACACACACACAAACGCACGAGCAAGGCGTGGGTAAAACCACACACGCATCCGACAACGCCCTCACCTGCTTGAGGTGGTGGAGATATGTGTTGATGCCGTGGATGACGCGCTCCGAAACGCCGTCGTCATCAGCGCCAAACAGCCTGGGTGCAATGCATGCAGGCACGACGAGTGTGAGCGCGAACACATGAAAGCAGGCAATCATACGCACGCATGCACACACACTCACACACGCACGCAAGCACGTAAGCAAGCTAGACTGTGGGTTGACTGGCTGTCATGTGACATGACAGGCATGATGCATGGCTGCAGCTCAGCAGGTGCGCGCGTGTGAGAAGCTGACATGAGGGCGATGGGGAGAATGCGGCGAACGGTGGCGTGGGTGGCGGCAATCTCGGGCGAGTCAGCAGCCAGCCTGCCGCACGCACACATGCACACACATGCACACACATGCACACACATGCACACACATGCAGAGGTACGGACAGCACATAGGGGTGGCGGGTCGCGTATGATCAAAACATGAGAACAAAGAGCTGGCGAATGCGTGAACGAAAGCACACAAACCAACGACGCACAAACACGCGACCACAACACACTACCATGATGCACAAATGCACAAAACCACAAGGACGACACACAAGTGTTGCTCACTCTGCTAGGCCGCCAATGAGGGTGGTGAGGAGGGTGTTGACTATGGCTGCAACCTCCGTCATGAGGTCTGCGTCGGCTTGCAGCTCCGCATCGGAGCAGATGCGCTCAAGGACGTCACCAACGCGTAGCTCGTCCACGACGGCCAGGCGCCCAGCAGCGGGCATGCCCTTGGTGAGGGCGGCGTCAATCACGCGGCAGGCCGCCTCCCGCACGGGCGAGCCGACTCGCACACACTCGTGCAGCGCCTGGTGTTGGCGGTGGTGGTGGGCGACGATGAGTGGAGGTGTTGGCGGTGGTGGTGGTGGTACGTGGTGTTGATCAACACTCCGTCACTCCCTCATTCGCGCTGACACACATGACACATGCGCGCACATGCGCGCACATACACACAAAACGCACACACGCGCACACATACACACCTGTTGGAAGTGCTGGTTGACGATGAGGTTGACGTCGATCCAGAGGATGTAGGTGGCAATGACATCGAGGCAGTGCGCCGCTAGCTCCGGCGCTGGCGTGCGCAGTGGTCACGGCACAGCGTAGTGGCACACAGCAGGGACAAATCCACATGCAAACACGCGCAGGTGAGTTGTTCCAACCAACACCACATACTTATGCAAACGCCACTGGTTGAAGCAAGACAGCGAGGGCGCATGCGTGCGTATGCACGTATACGTATACATGCATATGTACACACATACACCCTCACATACACACGCACAAACGCACACGTGAACACAAACCGTGTGGCAGCACAAGACAGACCGGGTGTTGCGAACGTGGTGATGATTGTGAGCCAGGCCTGTGCGATGCGGGAAAGATCGTATTCGCGCATGGCGTCCTTGAGCGCCGCGCTCGCCTCCGCCTCCTCAGCATTGCGGCTGATCTCCGTGGCCGCAACCTGCCCGCCACGAACACGACGAGGTGCAGTGGTGATGGGGGTCAGTGAGGTTAAAAAGCGGTGCGGTGAGGGGGGAGGAGTGAAGAGCAGCCAATCCATCCTGCAGCACGACGCCGACACTGCCCCAACTGCTGCTTTCACACACACACACACACGTACACACACGCACACGCGCACACGCACGCACGCACGCACGCACACACAAACTCACTCACGCACACACACACACTCACTCACACACCTGTTCGTCGATTGCCTGGAGGATGCGGAGGAAGAGGTCTGCCGGCGCCTGCTCGGATACGTGCTCAATCACGTCCTGAAAGAACGTCGGCCACGACCCAGGGTAGTCCTGCACAAACCTATCGACGCCGTGAAGAGGAGGGCACAGCGGCAGGCAGGCAGGCAGGCAGGGTGTGTTCACATGAGTCGCACGACTAGATCAGGCGCTGCACAGCAGCGGTTACAGAAAGCATCTGCTCAGTGATGAGTGTGCGTGTGTGAATGCACATTTACATGTCTATGCAAATGTAGGAAGGTACACGTTCGTGTAGTGGGTGACGTACACGAGTGCGAAGATCTGGGCGACTTTGTTTCGGATGAGCGCTGGCTGGGAGAGGTCGTGTGTCCGCATGTACGACATGAGAAACTCGCGAAGCGCCTGCTGCTCCTCTGCTGTCAGCGACGGGTACCGATGCCTCACCGCTTTTTCAATCACCTGGCAATGCCATGATGATCAGCGGTGTCAAGCGTGGATGAGAGTGTGAACGTGTTTGCGGGCGTGTGAACGTGTTTGCGGGCGTGTGCGCGTGTGTGTGTGTGTGTGTGTGTGTGTGTGTGTGTGTGTGTGTGTGTGTGTGTGTGTGTGTGTGTGTGTGTGTGTGTGTGTGTGTGTGTGTGTGTGTGTGTGTGTGTGTCTGTGTGTGTCTGTGTGCGTATGTGTGTGTCTGTGTGTCTGTGTGGTACACACGCCGCAGACGCAGGTGCAACAGGTGCAACAGGTGCAACAGGTGCAACAGACGCAATAGTGACTGAACATGCTTGGGGCTCTCATGACTGGCGGTGTGTGTGACCTGTACAGTCGAGTGCTGTCACGGCAACAACAACAACAAACAACAAACCTTGAAGCTGTAAAACTGCGACTCGAGCGTCTCCCAGTAGCTGTTGGAGAGCCCGTCCATGCACATGATCCAGGTTGCTGGTGCAGCCTCCAGCTCCGCAATGTGTTCAAGTGCCTTCACCACACAGCACGAGACCCAAGACCCGGCACACACAGTGAGAACGTGAGGCTGTTGGTATTGGCTGTGATCCGCCTCGGAGGTTTCCGGCAGCCGCAACTAACCAGCCCCTCGACAGATCTTTCCAGCACCAGTTTGTGCTGCACAAATACACACATACACACACCAACACTGCTTCACCAACACTCCAACGCAGACACACACACACAGCACATAGCACACACCTTGGATCGCAGGTCTGGGTGCGCCATGGCGTCGCAGCTGACGCGCACAGCCTCAATGAATCCGTCCATGTCGACGTGCAGCCCGTTCATCCTGAGCCGAGCGCCTCAGCCCTCCCTCCTTGGTCAGGAGGAGGGGTTGTTCACCACGAAGGCCGTGAGCACGCGCCTCCCAGATGGCCTGACGCAACACACAACACACACACACACACTCACTCACTCAGGCACTAGCACTGGCACACAGGCACAGAGCAAGCACACGCGCGCTTCGCGCGTCACGAGCTATGTGTTTGTGTCGCTGCTCAATGTCGGCGCCACGCGCACGTGTGCTTCCGTCGTCGTTCACACCAATCAACAAGAGTCGCCAATGATGACTTCAGACGCGATGCTGGATGGCTTCTTGTTGTTGTTGGTTTCTCCGCTGTGTGTGATGTGATGTGACACGCAAGTGAACAGTGACGTTGCTTTGATTTCCCTGCTTGATTTCCCTGCTAGATATTCCACTCTTCTGGATCGCTAAGTAGCTGTGCTGTGCTGAGCTGTGCTGGGCTGTGCTGGGCGATGCTCCAATGTTGTGATGCGGTGTGACAGCAGCACACCACACCAAAGGTTGGATGGATGGCTGGATGGGTGGTTTGTCACTTCACATCAACCCACTCGTTGATGATGATGGGGTGGTTGCGCGTTTGGCTGGCTGGTGGTGTGCATGCGTTGTTTGTGTGTGTGTGTCTTCTTCTTGTGCGGCGTCCCGGCGAATTTCGGTGGAAATCATGCCTGGTTTCTCTACAACATGTGCACCTGAGTCAGCACATTAGTGATTTAGCAATATCTTCCGTTGTTGTCACTGGGTGAGCGGTGGATACGCCACACCTGCTGTGTTCCTTGTGCGAAGCATACACTTCTTGAGGTGCGCACAGACCATCACATGCCTTTTTCTTTGCGTGGCTCTCCCCCCATCTCGTCTTCTCCGACCACCAACCACCACCACAGCCAAGGTGGGTTGATATCGGGTGGTGCTCGCTCCCACGCGCGCGTGCATGTGGGTGGATGGATGTGTTGGGTGGATGGATGTTAGATGTGTGTTTGTCTGTGGCTGTGGCTGTGTGTTTGTATGTGGCTGTGTGTTTGTATGTGGCTGTGTGTTCGTCTGTCTGTCTGCATCCATGTGCCTGCATCCATGTGTCTTTTTCATCCTTGCCATGTACATCTCTGTCGCTGTGTCTCCCTGAACAAGAAAAGCACGGATGATGGGTGCTCACTCCATTCAAACACCACACCGCCACACACATACACCACCGCCACCACCACCAAACTCTCAACCACACGTGCAGCATGACGAACACAACGGGTCTGCGTCGTGGCACGCGCTACATGTTTGCCCGCCCCTTCCGCGGGCATGGCGCTGTCGGTCTCAAGACATACGGTGCCGTGTACAAGGTTGGCCAGTACGTTGACATCAAGGGCAACGGTGCCTACTCTGTCGGCCTCCCCCACAAGTCGTACCACGGCAAGACTGGCCGCGTCTACAACGTTGGCAAGCGCGCCCTTGGTATCGTCGTCAACAAGCGCATCAAGAACCGCTACGTGCAGAAGAAGATCAACGTGCGCATCGAGCACGTCAAGCACTCCAAGTGCCGTGACGACTTCCTCCGGTGCGTTGCGTTTTCCTGGCGTGGAGGGTGTTGTGATGCTCAGCGCGATGAACCGCCGTGCGTGCGTGTGTGTGACAACGTGTCGAGCAACGAGCGTTCTCTCTTCAGCGACAAGCAAGCGCGTGTGCGTCTGTGGGTGTGGGTGTGTGTGTATGTGGAGCAAGTACTGCCCTCCCGACCCGGCAACCCGTTGAGGGTGCTGTTGCCGCTTGACCACACAAGCAAAGCAAAGAGGCAGAGCTTACGCAGCGCTCCTTGCGCACTCATTCAGCCCAGCCTCCCACACACGCAACCTCACCAATGCTCACGTTGTCGTTTCCTCTTTTTTTGTTTTGACTGCGCTGTTTGATCTCTTCCATCCTTGCTTGCGTTGTTCCTGCGTGACAGCCGCCGCGCCAGCAACGACAAGCTCCGCGCCGAGGCCCGCGCCGCTGGAAAGCGCATCAGCCTGAAGCGCAAGGTGTGTGTGTGTGTGCGTATGTGCTGCTGTACGTGCGTGGATTGGTTGATGACTATCCCTCGGCGTCACGCGTTCCACTGCACGCCTTCGCTGTTTAACTGCACACTTATGCTGTTGTAGCACACAAGCACGTCCCCCATGCACGCACGCACACACAATCTTGCAATCACAGCCACACCCATTGCCATCACCATCTCCATGCTCACGCTGTCGCTCCTTACTTCCCTTGTCCACCCTTGCTACAATCACGTGTGCTGCGACCACGTGTGCTTTTTGACACCACTCGCAGCCCGCTGGTCCCCGCCCTGCCCACTTTGTCAAGGACACTGGTGCTCAGGAGCTGAGGCCCCTTAAGTACGAGTTCCTTGCGTAAGCGACACGTTGCTCTTCGTTTTGTCAATGGTGATGATGATGATGATGTGGGAGATGAAGCAAGTGTTCGCCGGAGTCATGGAAGTGGAGAAGTGGTGCGCCTTGCATGTGCTGTCCTGGCCTTCTTCTTCCTTCTTCCTTCCTGCGTGTGTGTGTGTGTGTGCACTTTGGTGCTTCCGTATATGTGCTCCGCACACATCCGAGTACACACGATGCTCTCAGGCACACGGTTTCTCTCGAAAGCTGGGTGGAGGTGGGAACAGCAAGAGAAGTTTTCATTCATGGTGGCACTGATGGAGAATGCTTTTGTTTCTCTTGAAACGGAAGAGAAACGCAGTGGGAAAAGCAGCCCCACCACACACACACACACACACACACACACACACACACACACATAACTTAGGTGAGTGTGTGGTTTGCACATGAGAGAGGGTCGGTCCTCCTCCTCGTTTTGTTGTTTTACTCTCGTGGCAACTGCGTGTTGCATGATTCGTGATACACCAGCACGCTGCCGTCGTCGTGCTCGCACTGGTGGTACTCATCAAACACGGCGCTGTGCTCGGACTGCCGCATCTTCTGGCACAGCTGCCGGTTCCACTTGCACGGCAGCACGTGGAAGAGGAACGGGTGCTCCGCAGCCATGAGGGTGAACAGCGTCGCAGGCGTCAGCCGCTCAGACACCATGTACTTGCGCGTCATGTGGTCCACGAGGTCCGTGTACACAAGCTCGGAGATGAGGTCGCTCGCCCGCATGTGCGCCAGGTTCAGCAGCGCCACGCCCGTGTTGAAGCCGGGCAGACCCGCGCGCACGCCGCCGACGCTGGCAGCGGGGCTGCCAATGTGCGTGCGCTTGTTCAGCTTGCGGTACGCGGCGAAGGTGTGGCGGAAGGTGGGCTGCTGCTCGTACACCAAGCCAATCAGCTCCTCGGTCTTGAAGGCGCGGAAGATCTGCCAGAGCAGCGTCACGTCCACGCGGAACACCACGTCCGCGTCCACCACAATCGCCTTGTCAACGTCCGGCAGCAACAGGTGGTAGAAGGGCATCAGCGCCAGGTACTGCTCCGTCACCGTCATGCCGCCGACAATGCCAAAGTCGCCGCCATCGCTCTCCCGGTGCGCGCGCACGGCCGCGTCAATGCCCGGGATGAGCCGGCGCACCAGCACCCCGCCCTTCTCCATGGCCTTGGTCAGCAGGTCGTGCCCGTGGTACACGCGCAGGTCGACCCCTGCAATCGCAGACATGGGCAGGTGCTCGTTGCCCTTGGGCGGGTCGTCCGTGATGAGGTGCAGCGTGATGGGCTTGGACGCCCGCTCCACCAGCGAATGCAGACATTTCACAAACTTCGCCTCGAGGCTCCGCGAAGCGTCCGCCAGCACCATGACCAAGTGCACCGTGTCCAGTTCCCTTTGATACGGCTCATACACTTCCACCTCCTTGCCCTCGGCATTCCTCAGGCTTGCCAGGCACAGGCAGGTCTGAATGAAGGCAAAAGCCGCGCAAGTGTGTATGTGTGTGTGTGTGTGTGTGCAGGCAAGAACAAAAAGGGCGTGATGTTGAGTGCAAACGTAGCGAAACATGGTGAACAACAGTTCCAGCCGTTTGGGGAAACAGGTGGAGAGGAGGCGGAGCAGGAACCAAAGCCAAAGGATGACAAAGGTAGGGTTATCGCACAGTGATCACTGAATGCACGAACGCAAACACAACACACACACACGCACACACACGCACGCACACACACACACACGCACGCACACGCACGCACGCACACGCACACACGCACACACGCACACGCACACACGCACACACTCTCACCTTGCACGTGACGTGAAAGCCTTGTTTGATGACATGCCCCGTGGAGTTGCGTGCGACGCTGCATCGCGGCCCAACACAGATGCGATGATCCGAGGGGCACTGAACGCAAAGATCGGCAGCAGCAGCAGCAAGCGATGCACAAAGCCACCAACAAGAGCAGCGTCAACACCCAGCAGACAAGGTGAGTGCGGTCCAACGCAAGCAAACAATTACCTGGGTGACACGGCAGCGATGCGGCAACGCACACTACCACTTCACTCTGTCATCGATCCCCGACACAAGCAACCGCAGCAAGCACAGCGACCGCAGCAATCACAGCGAATCGCACCTCGCAGTGCCGTCCACCTTTTCCCAAGACCGCTTTTGATTCGGTTGAACACACTGGCGCCTGCTCCCCTTCACCAGCCGTCTGTGTGTCGCCCCCACCTACACCATCTTTGACTACAGCAGTAGCGGGGATGGCACCAACAAAGTTGCTGTTGGCGCTCATTACCATCACCACAGCCACCGCAAACAGCACAACACACGCCGCCAGCCCACCACCACCACCAATCCGCCAACGACGTCTGCTTCTTGTCATCGTCGTCATCCTCAGCTGTTGCCGCAAGAAAAGTGCTTGAAAACATTCACCAATCGCCAACAATCGCACTGGGGCTTGTGCTTGCTGGTCCTGCGGGAAGCGCTGGTGCTCTTCATCTCTGTGTTTGACCGCATCTCTTGTCTTCTCCTCCTCACTGACACACACACACACACACACTCAAGCACACGCACACACACTCAAGCACACATACACACATACGCACGCATATACACTCACACACACACACACAACTCCAGCCATGAAGTGGACGCGGGGTGCGTTTGCGGCGGTGGCGGTGACGCTGCTGAGCGTCGTTGCCCTTGCCGTGGTCATTGGCTACAGCGCAATGAAGAAGCAGCCACAGTACGAGTACGCCGTCGTCGTCGACGCAGGCTCCTCCCACTCGGAATTCCTCATCTACACGTGGCGGCCCACGAGGGCCAACGTCAGCACCGAGGTGTACGAGGTGCCCCGAGTCAACCAGGTCAAGTTCTCGTGCTCCACGGACAAAGGCATTAGCATGTACGACACCCCACAGGACAGCGCAAACTCCCTGGCAGACTGCCTGCGCAAGGCCGCCGCCGCGCTTCCGGAGAACGCCCGCCCCACGACCCCAATCTACCTCCGCTCCACCGCGGGCATGCGCGTCATGCACAACAACGACCCCGCCAAGGCGCAGGCCATCCTGGACGCCTGCGAGCAGCTTTTCCGCAACTCCACGCTCGACGGCGCCCGCTCCTCCGCCATCATCTTGCCAGGCTCGCTCGAGGGTGGGTTTGGTTGGATCACCACCAACTACGTCGCCGACCAAATCCTGCCCACGCACAAGTCCAAGCAGCACGACACCACGGCGGGCGCCCTCGACCTGGGCGGTGCATCCACACAAATCACCTTTGACGACCCGAGCACGTACTCAAAGCTCTCCCCAGAGGACCAGCTGCACCTGCACCTCTTTGGCAACGACTACTACCTGTACACGCACTCGTACCTGTGCTACGGCATGAACGCGGCCCGCCAGCGCATGCACGCTACGGCGCTGCAACAGGCAACGAGCAAAGGCCCGCACGTCACCGTCGACTACCCGTGCCTTCCAACCGGGTTTGCCACCAACCTCACGCAGGACGACATTGCCTTCTTGCGGTCGGACTACTGCTCCAACACCATCCACTTTGACGACACCATCCTCACCGCCACACTGCAGGGCACCTCGGACACCACCGCGTGCCAGCAGCAGACGGCGCTGCTGCTTGACGACGGCTTGCCGCCTCGCATGGGCACGGGCCAGCCCGCCGTCCCCGACCAGCGCTTCTTCGCCTTCTCGGGCTACTACTACGTGATTGACTTCCTGTGCTCCACCAAAGGTCTGCCCGGGTGCACGGCGGGCGAAAACAGCGGGTGGCACATGCCGCCATCGGCCATTGTCGCAGCAGCAGACAGCGTGTGCGCAGAGACGGCGCAGCAGTTGCGGAGAGAATCGCCGACTATCCCAGACAAGTTCCTCATGGACTACTGCTTCCAGGGCCACTACGTCAACACCATCCTCACCCACGGTTACGAGTTTGGTCAGGACTCGAAGCAGATTGAGTTTGTGTCGGAGGTCAACGGGCGGGATGTTGGCTGGACGCTTGGCTTCCTGCTGCACGATGCAACGGAGGAGCAAGGCCCAGGCGCCACTCGGCTCATCCCAAAGGCAGGCATCGTTGCTGGCGTCACCGTCACCGTTGCGCTCGCGTGCATCGGCCTTGCTGTTCTCTACCGCATGTTCCGCCGGTCGCGCAGTGACTACAGTGCCCTCAACTAGTCTCGCCGTCTGTGTTATTTGTCGTTGGTCTTTGTCGTTGCCTCTGGCTTTGTCTCTGCCAGTGCCAGTTTCTTCATCTTAATCGGCACCCACATCATCGCTGTTTGTTGTTGTCTTTGCCGCTTCGTCGTTGTTGTTCATGCATACGAACACGCTTGTCGTCACCTCGTCACTTGTTTGAGGTTATGAGGTTATGAGTGGAGTAGGCTTGCATGTGATCGTTATGTGTTGACGCTGAGTGTTGGATGCTGCTGCTGCTGCTGTTGTTGTTGTTGTTGTTGTTGTTGTTGTTGTTGTTGTTGTTGTTGTTGTTGTTGTTCTTGTTGTTCTTGTTGTTGTTCTTGTTG